CTCATAGTTCTTATTTCTTTCCAGTTGTTTCTGGCTTCACTCGCGTTTCATATAAATTTTTTTCTCTTCGTGAAATCCCTTTTAATCTCTCGATCTAGGAACAATAATAGCAGATAGGAATCTACATGTAGCAAACATTTCCCCATAACCGTGCTGAATAACCAATCAGAATAAGCGAGCAATGATGCAGGATGTCCTCTTTCAATAGTCGGCACTACGGAAGTGATCGTCTAAGGGGTAAAGAGAGCCGTTACCCTGAGTAACGATTAGATATACCCCGAATTCTCAATTTGAAGTTTTAGAACGGGGTCGCCGTGAGGGGCACCGATATTCAAGTATTGCTGCGAAAGCAGAATTGACGCAGACGCGAGCCATACTTGCTCGTCAGGATGAGTGCGTTGTGTTGAGAAACCCGTCCGTGGTGTTTACAATTTTCTTGACAAAACTAATCAGTGTTATGATTTTGTATTATCGCAAGTATTTGTGAAAGTTTGAGAGTGATTGTTCGATTTTCGAATCAATACGTTCGAAATCAATCGTAACATATATGGGAATCTAGCATAGGTAGATACATTTAGTTGTATTTTTCTGTGTTGCTTCAAACTTGTCGTTTCTTGTTACGAAAATGGCGAATTGTACAAATCGCCGATATTCGTACGGAAATTTTGTATATTTCTACACGGATGACAAGAAGTGAACTATTCTATGATTCTAATACGGAAGAACTTTATTGGGGCCAAGTAAGAAAACAATTTCGATCAGTTAAAGATGGATGCAACAATTGAGAGAGAGTGCAGTGCTTTGGGTGGCCTCTTTCAACAGATTATAACTGACATGAAGGTAAGTAATGTGGATTTTGTCAACATTCGATATTTATTATAAATTACGACCGCGTTTTTTCCTGTTCATTGTTTTTTGTATGCTTTTGTACCTTTGCACAAGTAACGATGCAGGCGAAGGCGCGTTGTCGATTCAATTTTATAAATATTGTGAAATCATTGTAATAGAAAACATAATATATTTTTTCTGATGTTTTTTTTTATGGCGTAAAAAAATATGGTTCCATTGTCCTGATTCTGAAAACTATTCTCTGAAACCATTGAGATACATTAATGCGATAAAACGAGGACGATAGCTAATTTACACTTGTTCTAGTTTTATGATACAGCAACGAAAAAATTCTTCATTTTTGCATAAAGACAGAACTTTCATATATTTTATTTCTATAAAATAATATAATATTAATTAATTATATGCATAATATATAATAACCATATATAATAAAAATAATCTAATTAATAAATTTACATACATGAATTTTTTCTAAACATTGTTTTACAAACAGCAATTAAAATACATTATTTAGTATTGTAGCCATAAAACCATTTAGTTTTCTAGTCAAGGTATCTTTCCAGTCTATAAAATTATCTAATCAGAAAAGATAGGTAGGCGTATGTGCTTGCATTATTGCATTCAATCTAGTTGGTTTTTATGGTATCATAGAAGTTAGGCCTAAGAGATAAAAATGTCTTAATCAGTACAGTAATATTTGTATAATATAAAATATAAAAAAAA